CCCAGTGAAATGGAAAATTTCAAATTCAGAATTATTGCTAACCAAATTACCTTTATCAGTGAAAGAGCATCTGCTCACAATTACTTACAAAATAGGAAAAATGAAGCCTTTCAACATACACGTTTGCAGCCCTGATGTCTATAAATTGAAAGTAATGTGTTGAGTTTAGTTGGCCATTTTTCAACACATTCTAAACAAGAGGCAGCCCCGCCAGGAGTCCTGCATGCCCGAGGGGGTGCTGGGAGGCTGGCGGTGTGCCCACTTTGTAACTCTCCACCACTTACTTTTGGACAAGCCACCTCCGCGTGAGGGACAGCAGCCCCTGCGGACCTGAGTGTGCCAGGGTGGCCCGGCTGTGGTGCCTCGTCTCGGCTCACGTCTGGGGCTCGGAACCCCGCCACAGGGACGGGGGAGGGGGCTGGCCTTCTCCGCGCCTCTCAGGAGCTCCCAGGTCCCCACTGGGCAGAGAAGGCTGGGCGCGCGGGGCATACAGAGTCGCTTAATCTGATGAAACAGACAACTGTGAGACTCAAGGTTGAATTTTCTGTCTCTCCTCCCAGTTGCTGGGCTGTTGGAAGGCAGGCTGCAGGCCTTGTCTGCCCTGTAGTGTCCTCTCCCAGGCAGCCCGGGTACGTGGGGTGGGGTGGGGGGTGAGGGGCTGATAAATTTTCCTTGAAACAGTTGATGGGTGAGGAGCCTTCGCTCTGGAAGGACTTCGCCTGTGTCCTCGTGGGATCAGCGGGGCGTCGGGTTTCTGGTCATTCCCGCAGCCCATGCCTTCCCACATGGGCTGGGCCTTGCTCTGCAGAGGGCAGTCGCCGTGCCCCCGGGGCTGGTACCCAGACACACAGGGCGAGGCCCTGCGCCCATGTAGCAGTGTGGGGTCCTTCAGACACGGCGAGGGGCAGTCCTGTGTCCAGGCCACTGCCACCTGGCCTGCACCCGTGGACACTTTACTCAGCCTGCCGCACCGCACAGGCAGAGGGTGGACGTGTCCCCGGGGCAGGGTCCTGCAGGGCTGGCCCCTTCAGGGAGGGCGCTGGTCATCACGCTCTGGCTGGGATGGGCTTCTTCCGGCCAAGCCTGAGGCAGGAGCCGCCTCTGTCTGCATCTCGTGGGGAGGGGCTGAGAATTCCCCTGTCCCTGTGCCCCCTGCTGCTGGGGCCTCAGGTGGGACTCACTGTAGAAGAGAAAGGCTTAATTTTTACGGTTTCCTTAGGTTACTTCAGTGATAGATGTTCCAGAAATGTGTTTAATTTTCCACATCTGTTCGCTCACCAATTTACATTAGAAAGGTGACTCATGCCTCCCAACATGTTTTTAGAGCTGTTTCCCCAGTTTGTCAACTGGTGACCTTGTCCTACGCCAGCTGGAGATGCCACAGCAGAGCATGGGCCTGGTTGGGGAGGCCATGGCTGTTCTGTCCTTAACTCATGTGGGCAGCTCGCTTCCCCGGCTTTCGTCCTGTCCACATGTCCTGAGAGCGTCTGGCTTTGGCCATTGTTCTCCCTAAGTGATGTGCCGAGCATGGACTCCATGCTGGGCTGGGCTCCATGTCTGCCCATGGGCCCAGACAACGTCCCCCATCCCGCAGGAGGCTGGGGTCCAGGGGAAGACCCGCTGGTGGTACCCCAGGGAGAGCCTGGATGACGGCCCCTCATCAGTGCCCTGGGCTTGCTGGTCCCTCAGCTAACAATCCGTGGTGTTACTGGGCAGGAGCAGAGGATGGGAAGCAGTGGAAAACGTATCTTGAATCCACATTAGTAAACTCGGAGTCAGCATTTCCTTCCCGACTGTTAAAATGTGACCCACCCACTGCTGTCGTTGATGGGGTTTGGCCTGTGCCAGGCCCACAGGGTGGCTGGACTGGGACGGGTGGGCTGGCTGCTGTGCCGTGGGAGGCTCCAGCCCTGGGGTCTGCTTGCGCCGGTGGGCGAGGCGCTGGCATGGCTGACCTGGCCCTGTAGAGCGGTGGGCTGGGGTGACCAGCAGGACCAGGGGCCTCCAGCCCGGGCCAGCCGCCTGTCCCGGGAGCCGCCCCTGTGCTGGCCTGACTCCTTCCTGGGCTGTTTTCAGGCAGTGGTCCTGTCTGCCCAGCTGTCGCCCGTGTTCCAGCCTGTTCTTCCCCAAGCTGCCAACGCAGGGAAGTTACCCTACTTTTCCTGTGTGAAGGAGGCTTCTTCAGTAAAATCAGAAATTTTCTGAACTGCCTGTTTTCAAGTGTTCTCATGTTTGAATTTCACGCTAAGCAGAGTGCTTGAGTCAGTGCCCTGGGCCGGGCCAGAGGCTGAGTGCCCGCTGGTGGGGCTTCTGCCCTTGAGCTGCGGGCAAAGGTCAGGCCTGGATGGAGGGCCACTCAGGGGAACTCTCCAGAGGCTTAGTTTTGTAGCTGCTGATAATTGCAGGCTGGAAATCATTCTTCAGTTCCTACAGAGAACACAGCGTCCCATTGCATTGCTGAGAACGCTCCTCCGTATTGCACTGTGGGGGACAGGAGCAGAGAAGGAAGACTGGGCATTTGGGGCTTTGCTCATTCCTGGTGCCGGTCACCCATTTCTCTGTGCATTCACATGCTCCTTCCCTCACTCATCATCTGACAGACACTTGCGAGGCACCTGGTGTCCAGGCAGGAGGTACAGAGTTGACTTGCCCACAGCGCCTGCCCCAGGGTGAAGCCCAGGACGCCGGGCGAAAGGCTGGACTCGAGGTGTTTGTAGCAGCAAGAAGAGGGGCAGGCTGGCGGCACAGGGAGTTTAGGGAGCTCTCCAGGTGTTTGGCATGTGGCTAGCTCTGCCCTGGAAGGGACAGGGAGGCCCAGGTGGAAGGCTGGAGTGTGAGTGACACCAGGTGGTTGGGTGTGGACGGGGTGTCGTCTGGCACCCGGTGCCACCGGCGGGTGATACCCGTGGGGCGTGTTGGGGGACTGAGGGCTGAGGACGAGATGCATTCTTAGCATTCCAGTTTTCTCAAACTGTGGGCCATTTATGGGACCCTCACAACATCTTGAGTGGAACCTCTGGAGGTGTTAGGTGCTCCCGAGGTGATGGGCCAGCGTCACAGGGACAGGTTGCCCCCTCCTGCCTGGGGGCTCTTGTCTTGCAAAGCTGTGTGTCTCAGTTCTGCCGGGGACTGCTGCCGGGAGGCCCCACCTAGCGCCATGCCGTCGACAGACTCCTGGCCTCTTTACGCTCCACTAGAGTAAGTGGGAACTTCTCTTTGGTAGTCAAATTAAGTTTAATAAAAAATAATTGTATTTAATAAAACATAAGTTGCTTAGAAGAACACGGTTAGATAGACCACAGTGTGGCCCCACCTGTGGGTTGTACCCACCCTGCCCCGTGTGCAGAACTTCTGGAATGGGGACCCTGTGTGAGAGGCTGGAGTCCTGTTGTCCTCTGTCTCTCAGGGCCCCTGGGAGGGGTTCCCCGCACATCAGAATCTTCCGGGGAGCTGACTAAACACACATTCTCAGACCCCACCTGAAAGATTTTGATGGAGAAAGTCGAGATGAGCCTGAGAACCTGTGTTCCTAAGCCCTTGAGATGAGGGTGCTGCCAGCCCAGTGTGGGGACCACTGAGGTCAGCCCCCGTGGCACCCTGTTGTCAGGCCGGCCTGCCCCTGAGCTGGCCTTGTGCTTCCCTGGGCCCTGAGCTCCTCGAGGGCCTCTCACCTGTGTTTACCCAGCGCTCCAGGACAGGGGGACGGGCCCTAGTCTGCGGGCCGGGGGCGCGGAAGATGGAGCTCCAAGGGGCCCAGTGCAAAGAAGACATTTTGTTGAAAACTTAGGTCTTATCCTAAAAATTAATGATGATGATTGACTTCGTAATGCTTATTTATTTGGTTTTACTATAAGAATAGCTTTCAGATTTCTGAGGGTGATCTGTTCTTACTGCCTACCATGACTCCTTTTGCTTCCAGCTGACTCCAGCCTTGATAGAACGTGGCTCCCTGGTTCACGCTCCATTCCAGCCCCTGTGCACAGAAATGTTCTCCTCCTTAGGCTTTCACAGGGAGGACAAATGGGATTGGTAATGCGGAAATGTAAGAGTCTTCCTTCAAGCTTGCATGGGCTTGAGCCAGAACCCCTCAGTCAAGCAAAAACAAAACAAGCTCCCCTCCGCTGGCATGTGAATTACCCCTCTGGGGAGAGGGCCCCTGCCCGTAGGAGCTGAATACCCCGGGGGAACAGACACCAGCCAGAGGAGCCCCCACTGCCAGGCCTTCCCTCTCTGCCTGCTTCCTGGCCTCGGCACCCTGGGCCCAGGCCTGCCCTATGCTGCACCCGGAGCCCTCGGTCCCTACATTTGTCCCTGAAGAGGAAGCACATGGTGGGCCTTGGGGCGTTTGGGGTCTTCCCACTGCCTCGTCCCACTAGCCTCCTCCCTGGCATCGCGCTCCCAGCTGACTGCAGGGGCTCAGAGATGAGCCTGTGTGCTTCTTCTCAGCCCCGTGTCATTAGTCACTGTCTTGTTGTAATGGGTCTTACAGTGTGTTGCTGGGTCTGCCGCACCACGTGGCCCAGCTGTTCCCCCACCCCCGGCCTGCACGTGTCCTGCCCCGCCTGCCACGTCGAGGGTGCCCAGGCGTGTTTGTCACGCTCAGTCGCGGATAGCGGTGGCTTGGGGTGGGGTGTCGTAGAAGAGCCAGTGAAGGAACTGGCTCCAGTCGTGGGGACCGGAGCTGTCCGGAGCTTTTCTGTGGCCCGCCTTCCTCCTGTGGACGAGAGCACCCCGCCAGGTGGACCGTAAGCCAGAGTGACTGGAAGGTGCAGCGGGTCTCAGGACAGGGTCCTCCCGCCCCTTGCACCCCCCTCCTCTGTGCTTGGTGGTCAGGAAAGCCTTGTCTCTGCAGTACTTCAGGTTACCGGGAACATGAGTAAAAACAAACCAGTAAGCAACAAAACACTCATGCTTGTTTATTTGCTAGTTCTAAAACTTTCTTTGGGAGAGCTGGAAAACCTGTAAGCTTTTCTCAGGGTCACTTCTCAGGGCTCTCAGGGATGGTCACAGGGGAAGGTAAGCCCCAGAGAGAAGGAACTTGCATGTAACTCAGGAACTCACAGAAAAGATGTGTGTGGAAAGAGTGCTTTTAGCAGCGCTTGGTGGACCCTGATTCAACACAGTCACATGGGAAGGTTCCGGTTCCAAGTCAGGACCCGTTCGGCAGTATTTGCTTGTCTTATGAAACAGCACGGAGTGGGTCTTCATGGGGCAGAATGCTAGGAAGTAGCAGGGTCACCACAATCCCCAGAATCTTTGCTTCCTGCAGAGGCACCTCCAGGATTTATAGACTGGAGCTCATGGAGCTCTGGAGCCTACCCCCCAGGTTGCTAAGCACCCAGCAGAGAGGTCTGGGGGCCGGGAGCACAGGGGACCTCAGCTGCGGAGCCCGTTGCAGCGGGATGGGGAGGAGCCGCTCGCGGCCAGTGGGAGATCGAGCGCCAGGGAAATGATGGTTCTTCTGAGAGGACAGCTCTCCTCTCTGGAGGCCAGCCCCAAGCCTGGAATCCAGAGGCACCCAGCCTAGGGCCCAGGGCCGTGTCCCACTCGCCCGCTCACTGGCCGGGTCCGGGAGCTGGTGGGGAATTGCCCCCTGATGAGCTTGAGGTCGTTTTGGGAGCTGGTGAGCTCGCCCTCTCTCTGTCCAAGCCCCTCCTGGGACTGCAGCCCGTGCCTGGTGGACTTGCCCGGGGCGGGAGAGCGCTCACTGCATGTCCCGGAGCATCCGCTGGCCTCACAGATCAGTTTCTCACCCTGAGAAGCGGGAGTGGTCCTGCCCCTCTTACCAGGGGTGGGGCGCACACATGACCCGGGGAGCCACCCTCGCCACTGTTCCCGTCACGGCCACCGCTGCCGCTCCCTTTCCAGAGGAAGAGTCGATCTGAACTCTTTTAATGGAGGTGACTTCTTCGCTCCCTGGGGACTTTGCTTGGGCATCTGGTGGTTGGAGTGGGTGGTTCCCGGCGGAACCCCAGGGGCTCTCCCTCACAGCCTTGGGGCCTGTGTTTGTCTCGCGCAGAGCAAGTCCACCGGCACCTGGACCAGCACGAGGTGAGGTACCTGCAGTTCGCCTTCCGCTGGATGAACAACCTGCTGATGCGAGAAGTGCCCCTGCACTGCACCATCCGCCTGTGGGACACCTACCAGGTGAGCTGTCCCCGCGGCCCCCGCGGCCTCCTGCCGAGCCCGGCCCGGGCCCGCTGGCTTTCTGCCCACACGGCGGCCGCCCAGGGAAGGGTCTTTTCTGGTGTTCTTGTCAGCTGAGTAGAAGTAACACCGGGAAGAAGAACTTCCTGTCGTTCTGTTTGTAGCTGAATTTCGTTCCGACTGTGTGTGCCAGCATCCCCGGGGCTCACGGACAATTTACGTTTCGTCGGGGTCCTGGGGGCGCGGTGGGGGCTGCTTGTAACTCGGCACACGTCTGCGCCGCAGCTGCCAGAAGCATTCACACCCCGGACTCACACGCTGTCTGTTTTGAGTTACTTATAATAACGATTTTTTTAAAAGATCACTGACAAATTCAGTGCAATATGAAATTTTCTCCTCTCCACCGATTTTGATGAAATTCATTTCTTTTGGAGATTGAGTTTTCTGGAACAAACCACCTTTGTTCCCCCGAGTGTCCCATTTTGCTTATTCTAGCACCTTTTCATTTTGCTGGAGATGTTTGCTGAAGCTGAGGCCGTGCCGCGGGGCTTACACGCCCGCTTTTCATCATCCCTCGCAGATGGCGGGAGCCTTACGTGGGACGGAGAGTGGAGGCCTGCGGAGGCTGCTTTCCGCACTCCGAGAGGCAGGGTTTTTGCCTTCGCGGGCTCTGGACTGGGAAAGGGAGCGCCGAGCGGCGCCTTCTGTGTAGGGCCATGTAAGTCCCCGCCACGGGGCTGGCCTCCGGTGTGGGAGCCCTGCACGTGGACGTGCACGGCCCCTGCGCCCGCCGTTGTCTGACTCTGAGCCTATGGTCATGGGAGTCAGCTAGAGCAGCAACCCGAGGTTCTGTTCCTGACGGTGGTCCTTGTGTCCCGCGTGGGCTCGGGGGTGTTTTGTGGTTCTGAAGCCCCGTGCTTTGACTTTGCTTTCCGTTTTTGCGGCTTGCTTATTCTAATAATATTCACTACAGAAGTTATGACGACTCAGTTGCTTCCATCCAGATCCCCCACTTTGGTTTTGCTTTTCTAAGTACTTGGCAATTACGGAATTTCTGGCCACTGACATTTGCTGGGACATAAAGCCTTCCCTGGGCTGTTTGGTGAAAGTGGCCGTCAGCCTGGTGCTATTAACTGGGTCTCGGTAGCGATGTAGGAAACACACTTAATATCCCGTGACGTGGGAACGCTCTCCGTTTGTGATGGGTTAGGCTGTCGAAGACCCTGGCCCCCTCATTAAACACACAGTTCCTTGTAATGCTCTCCCCATTACAGATAAATTAGGTATGAAGTCCCTCGCATTGTGAGGAGCCCACGGTCTGTGTGCCCACGGTCCTGCACCACTTCGCCAAAACTCCTAATAGGTATTAAAACTTTAAGCACAGTAGTGGCATCTTTATTGCGTTAATTTTCCTGAAATTAAATTTTGTCATGAATTGACTCATTTGTACCACGGACTCATTCTTGAACTGACAGTACCCTGGTCATAAACCTTTTCGTATCCTAAAAGTTGGGGGTATTTCTATTTTACAGGCCCAAGCAACCATGAAATTGTATTACATCTTTTGGCAATGAAAATACACAGTAATCACAGGATGGCATTCGGGTGATTACTCTCCCCTAAACTGGGATGTTTACCAGCTGGGCCATTACAGGTGTTTCCAAAGCTCTTTAACCCCTTGGACGTAGCTTGAAGCCCCCTGGGGGCATGTGCCCACCAAGGGTTTTGGAGAGCAGCTACTCCGGCCCCGGCTCCCAACTAGGTCGTGGCATGAAGATGAATGAGGTGCATCATCACAGGCGTGACAACAGACATTTAAGAAGCACAGACGATCCAGCAAGAGCCCGTGCTTCAGGGAGATGGCCCCTGCTCCCGGGGCATGTTGCACATTCGTTCTAAGCGGGACAGCTGGGGTGGGCGGTGCGGCTCCTGGGGAGCCTCGGCCGTGCGAACTGGTGCCAGGCCTCCAGGACTCGGCCACCAGCTTTGCGCTTGGCTCACCGTCCCTGGGCTGTAGGGTGCATCCTGCCTTTCACCCATCGCACGGATGCGCATTACCTCCAGCAGGGGAGACCCCTGGGCTTGTTCTCTGCCCTCACTGTGGTCCCAGCACAGAGGTGCTGCTGGCTCCCTCTGTCCTCTCCTCCCAGCGGCGTGACAGTGGAGGGGGACAGCAGCATGCCGGCCCTCGGCCTCCAGCTGAGCAGAAGTTCCTTCCCTGAGTGCACTTCCGTCCCAGTGGGACAGACGCAGGAGTGTAGAGAAATGAGCCCCTGGGAAATGCAAGGCTCCCATTAGGTCGGGGTGTTTGCTGTGGAGAAAACAGTGAGGAGCAGGGAGCCGGGTATGAGGGAGAGTGAGGGGAAGTGGCGCGCTCAGATTGTCCTGCCAGACAGAGGGGAAGAGCCCAGATCCCACAGGGGGCTGGACCTGCTGTCCTCCTGGTGCCAGGGGAACTGAGGCAGTGACGTGCAGGGCATGACCTGGGCATCGGGAGCTGCCATAATCCCTTGGGGATCACGTCCCGTGGGCCTGGGGACGGCTGTTTTGTCGAGGTCTGAGCTGGGACCTGAGTGGGGGGTGGAGAGAGCCCCGTGAACATCCAGGGAGAGAAGGTTTGGGACAGAGGGCGTGGTACATCAAGACTAAGCACTGTCCCCTGCTCCTCGGGCCCCTCCTTGCAGCAGCAGAATCCTGGGGAGGGCGCAGAAGTCATTGTCTGCTTCCCCCCCACCATTTCCCGTGGTTGCTCTTTAGTCCTGAGGCCTGTGGAAGCCCCTCATCTGGCAGGTCCTGGGACAGAAGCTGCCATTGTGTCTGAGCCTGGCTGCTTGACCTCCCGAGATTATGGGAGAGGATGTGCCTTGTGCCCTGTTGACGAGGGGTTCCTTTTTTTTTTAGATTTTATTTATTTATTTGACAGAGAG